CAATCTTATGTCGAACTCTATATCTCTTCAATGCCTTGGAAATCAACTTGTTATCAAAATGGGTTCCTTCATCACTAATGATAGCATGAGGTACTCCAAACCGATTGAAAATATACTTGTGCAAAAACTTGAGTACGGTTTTAGAGTCATTCCTTGATGTTGTTATTGCTTCCACTACTTTGACACATAATCCACAGTAACCAAGATATATAGATCTCCTCCAGAAGATGTAAATGGTCTCATGAAATCGATGCCCCAAACATCAAACAACTCTATTTCCAAAATATTTTGCAGTGCCATTTCATGTCGTTTAGAGATGTTTCCAGTCCGTTGGCATCGATCACATGATTTGTAAAATGCTTGAGCATCTCTAAACAGATTTGGCCAGTAAAAACCTGATTTAGGACCTTAGCAGCAGTCCTTGATCCACCAAAATGGCCTCCACATGGGGCTGAATGATAATAGTATAAAATGTTGTGTTGTTCTTTTTCAGGTACACATCGTCTAATGAGCTGATCGGCATAATGCTTGAACAAATATGTCTCATCCCAAAAATAGTGCATTTCATCGTGCTTGAACTTCTTTTTACCTTGGTTATCTAAATCAAAAGGCAATATTCCACTAACAAGAAAATTAACAAGGTCAGCGTACCACGGGTATTGCCGTGGCATATAAAATTTTCTCATCAGGAAATTCCTCTTGAATATCTACGATGTCATGGCATTCATAATTGTTCTCTAGCCTAGATAAGTAATCAGCAACTTGATTTTCAGTTCTTTTCCTATCTACCACCTTTAAGTCGAATTCTTGCAAAAGTAAGATCCACCTAATAAGTCTAGGCTTTGCATCCTTTTTGTTCACTAAGTATTTTATAGCCGAATGATCAGTGTGAACAATAACTTTAGTGCCTATTAGGTATGGTCTAAATTTATCAAAAGCAAATACCACAGTAAGTAATTCTTTCTCAGTGGTGGTGTAGTTCAATTGTGCTTCATTCAAAGTGCGGCTAGAGTAATAAATAACATGAAAAAGTTTACCTCGACGTTTCCCCAAAATAGCTCCTACGGCATAATCGCTTACATCACACATCATCTCAAATGGTGATGTCCAATCGGGAAGAACTACAATAGGTGCCGAGATTAACCGTTGTTTCAGCTCAGTGAATGCGTCAAGGAATAACTCGTCAAACACAAAGGGTTGGTTTTGTTGAAGCAATGTGCACAAGGGCTTAGAAATCTTGGAGAAGTCTTTGATAAATCTTTTACAGAATCCAACATGTCCAAGAAAACTTCTTATAACCTTGACCGAAGTTGGTGGTGGCAACTTTTCAATTACTTCAATATTCTCTTTATCTATCTCAATGCCCCTATGAGAAATTTTGTGGCCTAACACAATGCCTTCAGTCACCATGAAGTGACATTTTTCCCAATTCAAGACCAAGTCAGCCTCATCACATCTTTTGAGAACTTTTACCAAATTGTCGAGGCATCGTTCAAAATCGTCTCATGAAACATAGAAGTCGTCCATGAATATCTCCAGAAAATCCTCAACCATGTCTGAAAATATGGCTTGCATACAGTGCTGAAATGTTGTCGGGCATTACAGAGTCCAAAAGGCATCATCCTAAAGGAAAAAGTGCCATAGGGACAAGTAAATGTAGTCTTTTCTTGGTCATCTGGTGTGATGACAATTTGATTATACCCCGAGAACCCATCCAAAAAGCAATAGAATGCTTTGTCGACTAATCGATCCAACATTTGGTCGATGAAAGGTAGAGAAAAGTGGTCATTCTTTGTAGCTTTGTTTAGTTTTCGATAGTCCATGCATATCCTACATCCAGTAACAGTGCGAGTGGGTAATAGCTCATTATCTCATTGGTAACCACCATTATGCCTCCTTTCTTCGGAACACATTGTACAGGGCTCACCCATGAGCTATTCGAGATAGGGTAGATCACTCCAGCATCAAGCCATTTCAGAATTTCTTTCATTATCACCTTCTTCATAACAGGGTTGAGTCTTCTTTGTGGTTCTATTGAATTGCCATGGCAATCTTCCAGCAGAATCTTGTGCATGCAAATCGTAGGACTAATTCATTTCAAAGCGGCCATAGTCCAACCAATTATTTTTTTATGCTGCATCAAAACACTTAACAAAATTTTCTCTTGATTAGCAGTAAGGTTAGTGGAAATAATCACCGGTAAAGTTTCATCGCTACCCAAGTAAACATATTTAAGATGCCCTGGCAAAGTCTTAAGCTATAGAGTATGTGCATACAATAATGAAGGCTTAGGAGGATTAAAGTCCTATTCTGACCTTAAAAGAAAAGAAATTGAATTTGAAGTTGGAGATAAAGTTTTGTTGAAAGTATCTTCCTGGAAGAAAATATTGTGGTTTGGACGTAAAGGAAAACTTAGTCCTCGATTTATTGGACCTTATGAGATTGTAAAGAGAGTAGGACCTATATCATATCAACTAGTTTTGCCACCTGAAATGGAAAAGATACATGATGTCTTTCATGTTTCAATGCTTCGAAGATATAGATTGATCTTTCTCATATCGTGACACCAGAAGAGATCAAGGTTCAATCTGACTTGACTTATGAGGAAGAACCTGTTCAAATATTAGCTCATGAAGTGAAACAACTAAGGAATAAGACTATTCCATTGGTCAAAGTATTGTGGAGGAATCACAAGATAGAAGAAGTAACATGGGAGAGTGAAGAGGATATGCGGCATCAATACCCTCATTTGTTCGTGGAATGAAAATTTGAGAACGAATTTTCTTAAGGGGGAGATTTGTAACATCTTTAATATAGGGTTAGTGATTAAAGTGTAAGATTTTAAAATTCAATGACCAAATTAGATAAATTAAAAAGTGAAGGAATTAATTGAAATGTATTGTGTAGGATGATTTAACAAATGAAGGAAAAGAAAGGGGCAAAAGGGTCATTGAACAAAGGAAATAATAAAATAATAATTATGGGTATTATAATACCCATGTGGAGCATGTTTTGAGGAGATAAGTTTCCAGACTTATCTTCTTCATCTTCTTCTCTTCTCCAACGTGAAACCCCAAGCCAAGGTAAGTTTGATTTCTTTTGGTTAATCCTTAAAATTCAAACATGGTTTTGATTCATGAAACTTTAGAAAAGATGATGGACATAAAAAAGGTCATATAAACTCAAAGATTTGTAAGTTATGAAGGATTAAAGATAAAAGTGATAAGTGAAATTTTGAATAAAGATGTATAAATGAATTTAGAAGTTGAATTTGACTTGTCATAGGTGTGAATAAGAAGTTATAAGTGTTAGAAATAAGTTTGGATTACATGGAAAATTTAGTAAGATTCTTGGTTTTAAGAATTTGGATGAGATATGGGAGATAATAAGATGTTGGAATGATAAAAGTTAGTTAAAATGATTGTAGTTGAGTTTAGTAGTATGAAAGGAGTTTTATATGAGGAAATTTAATGAAAAGTTATGGAATTTTCAGGTGAAACCAATTTATTATTGAGAGGTGCATCGATACACTATGAATGGGTATCTATGCACTAAGACCAATTTTGAAGGTGCATCGATACACATCGGCAGGCATCGATGCATGAAAATTTTAAAGCTATTTTGAGTACCGATGCACCCATAGTGCATTGGTACACTCCTAAAGGAAAAGTGAATTTTTGGTTCATTGAATTAGCTTAAGTCATTAACATCAAGTTATAAGGTTTAGGTTTATGATAATCATCTTGAAAATTATATTTATGTAGATATATAGCCTAAACGAGTTCCAGAACAAGTGACAAGTAAGATTGATCGAGGGAAAGGCAATGAGACATAGGTGAATGCATATGCATAGCATGAATATAGTAGTATATTTAGTTCTAGACTTGTGATAAGTCTAGATTTAATATCTTGATACTTGATTACATTCCATATTATGATACATGACATGAATTCATATTATATGCATTATTTGACATAAATATGCAGGAAAGTTATATGAGCTATGTGATAAAGGTATGGAAATGATATGTCTATGAGATACACTATGTGAATTGTGATAGCTCATGTTATGTAGATGAGAACTATAGGTATAGTTGGCATGCCAAGAGTAGAGGGTCTACGCGGTCATTCTGGACAATTCTACGTGGTCCTTCGGGACATATATGTATTCTTTGGAACATGTATGAGGTCTTTTGAGACACCTACTTGATCCTTGGTATATGTATATGATTCTTAAGGAATTTCTATGTGGTCTTATGGACAATTTTATATGGCACTACAGTGCAATTCTACGCGGCACTTCGGTGCAAATTCTACGTGGCACTTCGGTGCAATTTATACGAGCTGTGGTGACAACATAGTGCAAAACCTCGCAGTACTCACATACCTCAGGTTCTCAGTATTGTATCATGGGTTATTGAACTTATTGATGTGAATTCATGATAGATAATTTAATAAGATCATGGGTAAGATACATGGTTATATGACTTGCATGGATTGAATATACGATTTCATGATATTGCATTTCATTATGACATTTTCATTATATTTTATTATCATTATTATTATGCCTCACTAAGTCGATGACTTAGTGTATGAGTGTTTCACACGTAGTATCAGAGAAGATAGACAAACAAGGTTAGAACAGAACAACATATCTCCACTTGAAGATCATATCAAAGTAAATTACATAGTATGTATTATTATGTGATAAATAGGTTCATACAACGGAACAACATATCTCCACTTAGAGTGTGAGTGTTTCACTGTAGCACTGTTCATACCGTATATTATTGTTCATAAAACCCTTTTTGCCTTAAATTTTTATAATAAAACATAATTTAATAGTATATTATTGTATTTTCTTAATATAAGTTCAAATGTTTTGTTATTTTGTAAGAATATTATTTTAAAAAGTCAATGTGGCATCTCGGACTCGTATCATGATCAGGTACGGGTTGGGGTGTTACAATATTTATCTTGGAAAATTGGTTGAGCAGGTAATGTGGGCATTTTCCTTATATTTGGAAGCGGTTGCCGTACTCCCTCAGCTTGTATTGTTGCAAAGGACAAGAAATATTGACAACTTGACTGGACAATATGTGTTCCTCCTTGGGTAAACTCCACTCCATAAATCCTATTCAGTTTCAAGTTTTCCATGATTTTATTACATTCCATGAAGGACACTTACTTCCCAGCTTCTAATTCCATATACTGTTTCTTCATTTTGTGTTAATTTGGTGAGGTAGAAAAAAGAGAGAAAATCTCTTAAACAGAGTTGACATCATATTCTGCTTGGCTGCCACAGATTTCTCTTTTTTGGGAGAAGTTAATATGATTTTATGTTAGATAGAAGTTCTCTTTCATTTTTTCGAAACACGGTTAATTGCACTTGATATTTTGCCACTATAACCGATATTCTTCTATAACATTTGTTTCGTGCTTTTCATGGTTCTTTTATTTTATATCTGCTACAGCTGACGCAAGATTAAACCACCCATTTTAAGATCTAGCTGTAAATTAAGTTGTTAAGAAAGGTAAAACAAAAGTGAAAAGATTCCTTAGTGTTTTTGAATACCAGAAGAGACATTCCATGGAATTCGTTACAAGAAAGTGGCTACAATCTGTAACCATAACTTCCATTAAGTTATTGGAGAAATGCAAAAAAGAGTAATAAAGTACATATTATTGGGGTTCTTGTAGATGAGGCTGGCATGAGAATATGTATCTCATGAAATATTAGGAGCTATGTTGATTTAGAACTTTTTCCCTCAACATTTATTGACCTTTTGTAATAGTATTTTTGACACAACATCAGCAAAACTACCTTTGGTTCCATCTCCTTTCACAATCATTATGCATGTTGAGTCAAAAGATTAAACTTCAGTACCATAATGCAGAATGAATCCCTTGAAAGATTTTCATATTGCCTCCGGTTTCGCATATTTTATTGTAATAAGTCATCTGATTGACTAAATGCTTAATTCTTGGTAGGGAGTAATATAATTCAATTTCTTGCAGTGCATACCGAGCACTCTATGTATTGAACTGGATTTATCGGTTCTTCACGGAAGAGAACTATGTCCACTGGATAAGTATGAATCTCTCTCTCCCCCCCCATATACCAGTGCACATGGGTGTATGAGAATGTTTCTTGCAATTTATACATTTCATGTTGTATATCTTATTCCTAGCACCTTGTTAATATGGATTGCCTTTCAGCTTGGGTTTTAGGGCTTGTCCAGACCTTGCTTTATGCTGATTTCTTCTACTATTACTTCCAAAGGTAAGACTCCAGTCTATGTTGCTCTGATGTTTCGTTTTTGTCAAAGTATCTTCTGAATTCGTCATGAAGAAACAGAGGAAAAACCGAACGTGTGCCGGTCGCTCACCCATAGTAGACAGTAGCATCAACCTCAATCATTCTAAAAGAAAATACTCCACACTTACGTTGATGATCGTAATGATTATAATTATCTTTCAATGACTGCAGCTGGAAGAACAATGTAAAGCTTCAACTACCAGCTTGAGACATGAATGGTGCAAGTCTGTAAGTAGCATACATAGATAAAAAGCTGGTCGGATTCGATTACTGGTGCTTAGCATTCTTTCTTTTGCCCTTTGCTTCGGGGTTGTTTTAAGCAACATAGATATAAAACTGGTCTGATTTGATTACTTGTGCTTACCATATGGCTTGAGAGAGATTGCAGTGCCATATTCTTTACATGACAGATAAACAGATAAGTCATTCTGACTGACAATACCTTACTGTTGACACTTTGTGAGGCTCAATGTTTTCAACTTTTCATATGGTTTAATGTGAAAACACACGCACTCAAAAACAAGAACAGTACAAAATTTTTAAACGACATTTTTGGTTAATTTTTCGCATGTCATCAAAACTAAAAATGAATACTAAAATTTGTTTTTTGTTTTCCCTAAGTTGGTCGCAAAATTTAATAAAAATCAAATTTAAGATGCAAATATCATTGAACGCATAATTTAATGGAAATTTTCAGTATTCTTGTAACCCTTAGACCCGAATCTATGTTGTTACATATCGTATACAGATGCCATTTCCTTATTCAAAATGCATTTGTAATCCATTTCGGTGAATAAAATACGAATAACAGTAAAATAAAGAAATACATAACCATAAAAAAAATTCATACAGTAAATATATAGAGATATCAACGTCAGTAAATAAAATATTGGCAATAAAGAAGTGTGAAGACAGTAGTAAAAACACATGTTACAACAAAAAGGGCATACAAAAATATGCAGTGATACAAAAGTGAGGAGAGATCGATCCTCCTGATGCCAAGTCCGCTAACCTACTGTCTGGTACTATATGAAAAGTTAAAATTAAAGAGCGAGCTAAAAAGCTCAGTATGCTCCTTATGATGTATAAAGCATACAAATAAATACTTCACTAAAATTTATTTTATAAAAATATACTTTTTAAAACATGAATACTACTCTCATCCGAACACCAGAATGTGTAGGTTCCCTGAACCATACACATACTTGTACGCCCGATAAGGACCTTATTCTAATAGCATAAGTGCTTGCGGTAAGGTCTTAGACAATGCACAAAGCAAAGGTGTCTGCGGTAAGGTCTTACAAGCAAGAGACTAGGCCTAAAACACTTCCTCCAATCATACCCCTCATGATGGTGAAAACAATAATTTAATTTAATAAAATATTAAATATATGTCATTTTTCAGAATCAGATACAAAAATACAGTAACCAGAGATCATGTAGAAATATATGGAAATCAGATATTAGAAGTTAAACATGTGGTAAAATATGTGTCATGCAGTCTGAATATTTAAATTTCCAAAACAGTTCAGACATATAGTTTAAAACATTACTGTAACACCAATAGGAACACATGTGAACCGATCTAAGAAATTTGGGACGATAGCCTACTCTCGGGTCTGCCTATCATGATAGACGGCAGCGCTAGACCCTACGGATTGGAAATACTATCTTAAAATCCTAACAGAAAATAAATAATAAACTTTAATTAAACAATTTACGAAAACCTATTGTTCTATCGAATGGGAAGTATCGGATCTGGTCGACCCTCGGTCAGGGTAATTACATGTACCTTCACGAAAATATAGCCTCAGATTAATTTCATATTCAAATCTCAAATAAATAAACGGAAATGTTAAAAATACTAAGCATTTTCGGATTAACGATCAGAATTTGGCGAAACGGACATAAAAATCAAACTCAAGACGTCGAAAAACCTCAAGATAGGTGGTCTTGAAAAAGTTAACGATCGATCAACTACGACGTTCAAACGATGACGGTCAACGGTGGTGGTCGGCAACAGTCAACAGTGGTGGTCAGCAACGGTCAACGGTGCTGTGTGGGATAGTGTGACTGGACCTGTTCGATCTGGTTTAGGTAGACCAGTCCGCCTGGGCCGGTTCGATATTTGGGCCAGATGGATCAGCTAGTCAGACAGGTTGAGCAGATAAGCGGGTCAAGAGGTTGATTTCACGTGTTTCTAGAAACCCACTAAGTGGTGGACAATCCCCACGCACAGCGACGACGCGTGTGGGCGCGTTCGGTGTCTTCGGGTGTCGGAAAAATTACATAAAAATTCAAAAAAAAATATTTTTTCAAGTGTTTTAAGTTACTTTACAACCTCGGTTCACAATGTTGAACGGCAGAGAGCTCGATTCGATAACGATGAGAATTTGCTTCCACTCACCTCTACACACGTTGACGCTACGACAATGAGACGACCGCTGTTGAACTCAAAACGATGCAAGGAACACCATGGTATGAGCAATGTCAATAACAGAGCAACGATCGAAAGTAAAACAATGATCAAATTTTATTGGCTAAAAATGGGAGGTTTGAAGAGAGACAAAATGAGTTTATAAAAATGAAAACTGTTAAATTATGGGTTTTAAATCTAACCAAAAAGAAAATGGGTAAATTATATTGTAGGTTCTTGTGCTTTGGTTGCTTTATAATTTGGGTACAAATTTAACTAAAATTTCATTTTGGTCCTTAAATTTTGTCAAAATTTTAATTTAACCTTCAAAATTAAAATTAACAAAAATTTAATCTGGAATTGAGGTGTGGCAATTCTCCTATAGTATGGTGACAAATTTAGCTTTTAACCCAAATATCTCATAATGATATCAGCTGCTAAATCTTTGTTTTGTTTAGGGATATATATATATATATATATATATATATATATATATATATAAGTTACATTTACTTTGACAGTCAGGTTTAACCGGGGATATATATATATTATTTTACTAAAAGTATGTTAAGTTTGGGGATATCAATGGAATGAGTTTTTTGAGGACTTGTCATTTTGTACTCAATTGAATGAGAATGTGTATATGTTTTATGGGTGGTGAGGCGTAAATGAATATAACAATTAGACACATTGTAAGTGGAGGAATTGGTGTGAATCCCTATTTTATTATTGCCTACCTCACGTCATCCTTTTTCGCCAAATATACATAATAAGTGTATTTTAGAAATAAACAACTTGAAAATTAATAATTTTGATAACACTTAGATTGCATGTATTGATTGATTTTTAAAGCTTTTGCAATTAATTGTGTTGCATTTGAATACATTCATGATAGACATCATTTATATTTAGATATCACTATGTAAGAAGAACTCACTGGGTGACCTCAAAGGTAAAAAGAAGGGTTGTTTATTATAAAAGAAAATGTTATTCTTTCTAGAGATCTCGGGTTCGAGCAATTACCTCTGGAAGATGTGTTGTTAATGATTTAGAAAGATTCTGAATAGATATTATTTTATAATCACCCTATGATTTTTTTGAAAATGTTGGAGTTATATTTTCATTAATTTTGGAAACCATATCAAGAATAAAATTAGAGCTCGTGTTCATGTAAAAACGTGTCTTTAATACATACTTCGCGTGTTCCTTATTTTAAAGATAAAATTCATATATTTTTTCACAAATTTTACAATTTTTTTTATGATCCAATCTTTATAAGCTATGTTCGAGTTCTTACTATATAAATAAAGACACTTTTGATAGGAAAATGTCTTTGATGCAGATCGATTTTGTTCTATGTGACTTAAACTGATGTTAATATGGAAAATAAAGTGAAAGTGATATTATTTTAGATAATATAAATTTTAAGAATGATATTTTAATTAAAAAGCTGGGTACTTATATCCTAAAATTTCATTGCAAAAATGCAAATTTAAAATATTTAATTTTTAATAAAACAAATAAAATTCTACACTAGAAATAATTCATTAAAACGCCGAGCAACACCAAAACGAAAAACCAAAATTTACTCCCCAGTCGCTAATCTCCGCCACCGTCTCCATATCCTTTATTTTCAATTTGTTTTCTTCGTCCCCCCCAATAAACAAAGTATTTTCTTCTTTACTTATCTTACAATTCTCTCGATGCCCTAGCCACCGCCCCTCGCCGGAACTCCCCAGGGCGCGTCGCCGCCGCCGGCGATATCTGTGGCACCAAACATTCAAATCTCTATCTCCTTTCTCTAGATTTTGGTTTGTTCGGATTGGATTTGATCACGCAAAAAGGAATAACAAAGACGAAGTAGACACGACGTCTTAGGATCTCTTAGGGTTTAGAGTTGATGGCTGGTTGTCGTAAAAAGGGAGGGAAGAAAGCAAAAGTCAAGGACTTACGTTTAGGCGATCTTGTTCTTGCCAAAATCAAGGGTTTCCCTGCTTGGCCTGCCAAGGTCTTCCTTTTTTATCCTCAATTCCTTAATTTTACAGTTTGATGATTATATTTTTATTTGTTACATGCTTATGCGAACTTATGAAATTTGAGTAAATCCATGATAAGTTTTGTGTGCGTGTTTTGCATGATGTTGGAGTTCATTTTATGCCTACATTGCCTTACTTTGTAGTATATTGTTAGTTTTTATACTCATCTATTTCTTTGGTAAATATTGTTTTACTTTATGGAAAGCCAAACTTTGGAATATAATATTCACGCATACTTATGTTAGCTGTTATTCCTCTTTCAGTGTTTCAGGTTTGGGACTTAGTCTGTTTCTGAATTGGGTTACTTAATGAAACTATGCAAGTTCTTCATTTTGGGACTGGAAAAAGTAGAGAAAATATTTTTATATTGGGTTGTGTGCTAGATTGATTTGAACCTGGGAAGTGAATCAGAAATTTATTGAGGGAATTTGATTTATGTTTTAGTTTTTGATATTTTGTTACGTAGGATCGGTTTTGAAGTAGATTCTGCGGGTTATGACTTTCAGATCAGCCGGCCTGAAGATTGGGAGCAAGAACCCGACCCTAAGAAATATTTTGTCCAGTTCTTTGGAACACAGGAAATGTAAGTTTTGCACAATCAATTTGTAAATGTTTAATGAATCAGGGAGATGGCAACATGATGAATAAATACAGGTGATGCGTCTGTTTTAGGTTTTGCATCTACTGTCTGGTTGGAGGGCATACACATTTTACCATAAGAGGGAACATGAAAGATTATGCTGTCTAAATCCTAGAAATATTAATTTATTGCATTCTGAATGATGTGCTACATATGACTATCCAAGCAGACAAACTTTGTAGTGTTTATATTGCCAATTGAAGTCGTTTGTTTCTTGTCTGTGCTTACTAGAGGATGCAATGAGATTAACATCACTTATTCTATGTATTATGCTGTCTGTAT